GAAACAAACGGTAATTGGTAATCGCAAATGTTCTGCTTAATCACCACCTCGTATCCCAAAATAGTTAAACTTACGATGAGAAGCAACCCAAAGGTGCTAAATAAAAAACTACCGCTGAATTTCTTGCAGTTTCTTGCTGTTCCTTCCTAGGACAGACGTTATTTCCGAACCAGTGGTAAAAGTAAAAAATTGCTATCTATACTATATATCATATTATATAAAGTATATAGTAATTTAGCTATATTGAATACAAATTATTCTATTATGACTAGACTGTTAGCTATTTCTGTGTCAGAAATCCGGTAAAATTAAAGGTTGTGAGCTATTTAATCTTAGTTCTCCTCGGGTGTGAAAGCGCATCTGTGCTTTGTACGTTTCCATAGTTTGCGGTATCTACATAAGATGTTGGAAAGTCGTCTCTAAACTCGTTGATCATTCTAATATAAAAATCTATATTTTCTGCAGGTATGGTTCCAGAACAGACGCGCAAAATGGCGGCGGCAGGAGAAGATGGAGGCCGCGAGACTGGGGCTCGCGGAGTACGGGTCGCCCGTGCCGCGACTCGGCCTTGGCCTGCCCGTGGACCCCTGGCTGGCGCCTCCTCTGCTCTCGGCATTACCTGGTAATTTTATTTTACTATTATAACCCAGTGCTTGACAACTGCTCCATCTGATGGTAAGTGATGCAAATGCAAATGATAAAGCGCACTGAAGATGACTTCTCTATGCGTGCAGAATTTGCCTCAATCTTTACGATTGGTAGCTGGATTGACGATCGCAAACATATACGAGACGATAGCATATTAGCAATGCCCGACTTTCTACACATTTGATGGTGCTCCTGGCTGGTGAATATTTTACATTTGACGTAAATGATCTTTTCCACTAAAAATGATGCATTTCATCTTATGCCAGATTCCTATATTCAAGAAATGTTTCGTTCTTCGTAACAATCTGTTTTATTACATACGAGGTGCATGTAAAAATAATTTATATTACAAACTATTCATTCTGCATCTTAAGATGACTTAAAATGAAAACAAACTTTAAACGGTTAATAAATCCGGAACAGTTATTTGTAGGCTATACAAATACTTGCTCCGTGAGGGATTCGAACTCGCGGCCCTTAGTGCTGTAGCTCAATGTTACGCTAATACATCAGGGAGCCCTCACTCAAAACTATAGAATTATGCTGCTCTTTTGTAGAACCATCTTTAAGCTGGTATTTCGTGACGGCGCGGTGCGTAGCGCTGCAGTTACTGACTAGTAATTCTACGCCCTGTAAGCCGTTACAGTCCATAAAAGTCCACTGCTGAACATAAGCCCCCTGTAGGGCATAGGCTACCTCAGGCAATCAAATACAGATAGAAATTTTAGTCATAATAGACGATAGATGTAGAGAGGTCTACGAGCTACAGCATCCACTTACAATCAGATGGACTGTTAGCTCGTTTCTCACTAACACCTCATCTCCATGTTGCAGGGTTTCTCAGTCACCCGCCGTCTGGCTACCCGAGCTACCTGACGCCCCCCGTGCCGCCTGCACCCCCTGCACCTGCCCCCACGCCCGACCCGCGCTCGTCCTCCATAGCAGCGCTGCGTATGAAGGCGAAGGAGCACGTGGATTCCATTACCAAGGGAATGCAAATGGTGTAATGCTCGAAGAGAGTCAGTTAATTGAACCTTTTTAGACTAGTCATCATCATCATCATTATAGCTTTTCACAGCACACAAAACTGCAAAATTAAGCTGCTCTATAACGCCGGTATTTCGTGACAGCGTGGTGTGTAGCACTGGAGTTACCTACTAATTTCACACCCCATAAGACGTATATTTATGTAATCATCCATCCATTACAATCATCTGTCCACTGTTGAAAATAGACCTCCCCCAAGGAATGTCTCACAGCACGAGAGCCACCTGCACCCATCGACTTGCCAGGTCGTCATTCCATCTAGTGGTGAGCCGCCCTACACTTCGCCTACTATAATAAAATAACTTTGTTGTACACCACAACAATTTACAAAAAAAAAACGAAAGGTAAATTCGTGTAAAGCGACATTACCCATCCCCCAGAAACTTTAATATTTATATTATATATTTTATTTATTTATGATTATATTAATTATTGAACAAATTATGACATGTAGCAATAAACCACATAAATATGAAAGCAATTTTCCGGACTTCATCGCGTTTAATTTTTAATTCTCAACCTTTCGTGTGCTTTAAAGCACCCATGATCCCTTGGGGAACTTGTAAATTTAATTTCATTTAATGTATAGTCTTGGCGTATATTTAATAAATTATTACATAAATATGAGTTATATATATATATATATATATATATATATATAATAAATACGTTACCGCCATATTAGCACTACCCTTGCAGCGTGGAGTTAGTTTACATAGGTACATGAAATACAAGGACAAGCATCCAGACCAGGAACAATTATTTATAGGCCATACGAACATTCATAACGTGCGGGATTGGAACAGGATAATAATATTGTAGGTTAATAACAACACAAGGCAATACTTGGACAACTGAAAAACTGTAATTGTTCTTGTTCCAACAACTTTGAGACCTTGAACGTAGAATAACAATCAATATTAACCAATTATATTTAAAAAAAAATTTTTTTCGGAAATAATAATCTAAAAAATGGAAAGTTGAGAGTGAAGGTTTTATTACTGGCGTTGAATATAATAACAAATAAATAACAATAAATATTTTTATTCACATGTTGTTGATTTAATAAATGTATGCAAGAACAGTGAGCTAAACAACAATATATAGTTGGACCCCTAACTAGGAAAATTATGTAGGTACCTACCTTGGGGTCTATAAATCAATATAATATCTATGGATGTAGGTGGCTCAGTATCATACCTTGTAGCAATCCTTGGTGGAGGACTATGTTCAGCATTGCTCCTGTGAAGGGCTGCAGTGATGAAAATGATGATAATGACAGTAATAAATTTATATTATATAATAATTACATATTTTAATTTTCAAAGTCTAGTAACCAACACTTTTAAGTTGTTACACTCAATAAGCTGTATTGTATATAATATGTCGTTTTAACGTTTTTTTGTTTGTTTTTATATAAGCCAGCGTTAGACCGCAATCCCACCTGGTGGCAAGTGATGCATTGCACTGTCTCAGAGTAATAATGTTATATTTGTATGTTCTTGGCTTAAAGAGTTTCAACCTATAATGGAGGTAATACAGAACCAAAATAGTTAAGAGAACTGAAATTGTAAAAATTAGTCTAAAATAATTACTGTGTATTAAATAGTTTAAGTTAATAATATAAAATAATACCAATTTGGAAAAAATACTATTTAATAAAATAATTCATATTTAGTAAGTCGGTAAGATTGTAAATAATGTAAACAAATGTCTAATTTTAATAGCAATAAGAAGTAGAATATTTTTGTGAAAGCTTAATATTATTAAGTCGTCTCAATGTGTGCTGTTTTGAGTTTCAGTTTACAATAATTAATAAAGCATTTTCCCAAATACTTTTCTATGTTTACAACTAGAGGGGTAACTACGGTACTAAGACGTATTTTGCTCCGTTTTTTTTACATACGAGTTGCACGTAAAAATAGTTTATGTAACAAACTATTCCCTCAGCAACTTATGATGACCTAAAATGAAAAAACTTTACGATTTATAAATAGTTAAACTGATGATTTGTTTTAAAAAAAGGGGTTTTTAAGCACTTCATGTAGGTACTGCAAAACAGCTCGTAAAAGTAAACGAAGCGTTTTTAAGTATAGAAACCTGGCATAAGTAAGGATAATGTCATCAGCGTTAATGCCAGTATTCAGATAATGTCGATATTACTGATGACAAATATTGGACATAATGTACATTATAACGACCTTTGTCTTATGTAATTAACAGCACGGCTATCTTCCTTCTTGTAATTAAATAATTCACCACACAAACAGTAGGGTAGACTGGGTACGGTTGTGACAATTTTCAATGGATCGCCGATAATTTTGTTAGTATGCCACTTAACTGGAAGAAAGATGTCTTTTATATTAAAGTATACATTTATCTACGTAAAAATACAAAAATTTTGCACTTATGTACAATGGTTACCTTACACGAGCAAATCAGGAAAAAAAAGGAATAATGTCACAACCGGCAACACCCCAGGGGCGGTTGTGACAGTGCTTGGGGTCGGTAGTGACAGGTTCAAAATACACAAAAACAGTTTATAAATCACTTTTATTGCAAATAATATCTTACATAAGGCAACATAAATCTTCTTCTGGATAAATTGAACATTAACATAACAAAAGAAATAAAGTCTAGGAACACTTTTATGGCTTAAAACAACTAAATAAAAAAAATGTTACTGTAGAGTCTACAGTTACGAGTACTATATAACAGTCTTTAATTATAATATAATCAGTATAAATACAAAACAGATCTATTATAACAGTCTTCATATTACAATCAGTCAAAAAACTTAACTAAACATTTCTAATATACTGGGGTAACTGTGTTAAAATACAAAGTAAATATTTATTCAAAACCTCTCCTTCAACAAAAACATGCAATATCAACATGCAAAATCAAAAAATAGAAGGCATCTAAGGTTCGTTCTTAGTAATAAAAACTAAAAAAATAAGATGCCGAGACCTAGTCAGACTCATTACAGTTATGACAAATATAATGGCGACTACCACCTGCGCACTCTAAGTGGGACCAGAGCTCACATTTTCCTTGGCATTTGATCCATTTCTCGCCAGCCTTACTTTCAGAATATGCGCCCATACAAATTATACAGAAATACTCTTCTTCATCCGATGACGACGGTGGTGTCTTCCTTTTCTTTTCTTTGCTTTTTCCTTTGTTTTTCCCTTTTGGTTCAGCAAGATTTATTTTTACCTACTTACCCTTCAACCGTCTCTATTTTTCTTCATATTCTTGCCTAACCGTCTCTTTTTCAGGCGTGTGGAAAAGGCCGAATAATTTCAGGCGAAAAAACAGGTGGCGTGGTTGAGGATGACGTTGCTTTGATTTGAAGTTGAAGATTCACCCATTAAAGAAGCGGAATGTTGCGGTATTTCATCGATCGATCCAGGATTGTTGTTTCCATCGTCTGGGTTTGGTCCGTCTGTTTGAAAGGAAGCTAAAAAATCAAATTCTTGTGTCGATGGTATTTCATTGTTAGCTGCAGAATTGTTTTCTTCAGTGTCAAGATTTGTTCTGTTCGTTACAAAAGATGATTCTGCAGAATTAGTCTCTCCAATGTCAGAGTTTGCTCTGTCCGGTACAAGAGATGGTGCTGCGGGACTATTCTCTTCAGTTTCAGGGTTTGGTCTGTCCGTTACAAAAGACGGTGCAAAGTCGATTTCTTGGAACAGATTACGATTATACGGATAAATACCAGTTTTGCAAAAACCAGCTTGAATGTTCGCTTGTGTAAAAGCCAGAGGCATAGAAGTTTTGATAACGCCTGGTATATCGTAAATCGTCATAGTTTTTTCAGGTTGACTCCGCATCCATCCATCGCAAGCAGTATTTATTGCTTTTTTGAAGGGTTCAAAGACAGATCGATCTAAGGGCTGCAGTTTATGCGAGCAGTGTGGAGGAAATGAAAGCAAAGTGATTCCATTTTCTTTACAAAAATCCAACGTGTTAATATGGATATGCGAGGAATGATTATCCAGCACTAGCAAGACTTTATGCGTTGGGGAAGCATTAGAAAACTTCTTAAAATGTTCGAGAAACACTAGGAACGATGCATCTTGCCAGAAGGATTTGCTGTCCCAATCGATCCTACTGGTCCGTCCCTAATAAAATGATCGTGATAACGAACCCGTGGAAATATTATTAAAGGAGGGACAGTATTGCCCAAGGCATTTACTGCAAAAGCGACCGTGACTAATGTGCCTCGTTCGGCTGAAGTAACAGCTCCCACTTGCCGTATGCCACGTCTTGCTACTACTTTATCAGGTCTTTGGACGGTTGTGACACCTGTTTCGTCAACATTGTATATATCTTGGGGCTCATAAGTATGTCTATCCATAACAATTTGTAAATTGTCATAAAAAGCTTTGACATTAGTTGTGTTAAAGCTTGTCGCTCTTGAAAGGCTAGTAGCTTGAGCTACGCGAACAGAGAGTGATGGATTTCTATTCATAAATGAACGAAACCATTCTTCACCAGCCATTTCATTCTCAGTTCAAGTATCAGGTCGCTTTAGATTGTATTTAATGGCAAGCTCAAAAGCTAATTTCCGTACCTCTTTTGGAGGAAGGCCAAAATAAATTTCTGCGCATCGTTTTATATATCTTGACAGCTGATGTTCTTGCTCCTCAGAGAAGACTTTATTATGAGCGACGTACCCCATGCCGACGCCGTCTTTATTGTTGCCCGCGTCAGCTCCATCACGTTTCCGAATGTATCGCAACAAAGACATGCGATTAACTTCATGCATTTCCGCAGCTCTCCGTAAAGAAGTTCCGCGTTTCACTTCTTTATAAGCATCTTCATATTGTGTTATATTACACTGCCCTCTTTCGGTCTTCCTCAAACGTTTCCTGGGCATCTAAAAGCAAAAATATTTTTTTACATTTGTCACAACCGTACCCTGAAAATATGTCACAACCGTACCCAATGCACTTCTTCGAGAAAAAATAATTTCCATGACAATACAACATAACATATGTACAAAGTAATTATAGCTATATAATTACAAATGTTTCAGTTTTCACGAAGAAAAACACTCATTACTATATCTGTACACATATAACAACAATTATTAAAATATACCGAATAAAATACTTACTTTTGACTGTTAAAAAGTAATATAGGCCTCTGCTAGCGTTAATGTCGCGCAATGGCTGACGCAATACTGTGATACACATTCAGACGGGCAAACTGCTCCTCTCTCCCCTTGCAACCTTCCCGGTATTCCTTACAGATACGCTAATATGACGACTGTCACAACCGTACCCTGGCACAACCGTACCCAGTCTACCCTACGTAAAAAAACTTACATCGCGTACAAAATATTGTTTAATTTCATTGTAAATAAGCATTGTACATAAATTAATATAAGATATAGTCATAGTTATACGAATGTGTATTGTATTTGATTTATAAGAAAACTTGTCACGTCACTTATTTCTAATTTTCCTTTAAATGTAAAGGAAATTTTAGCAAATTATACATCTTTATTAGTACACCGCCGGCGGGTTGCTTTAAGTATCATACTTTGTTCGCATTGCGTCAGCGTTACTGGCCTTATCGTTAACAGTAATTTAAAAAAAACTGTCAGTCGTAGGACTGCACGTAAGAAGTGAAAACTTCTAATTATGAATGCCTCGATACGCCTTTTTGCCGATATGATATCAATGCTCTTATAAAAATATCGCCTATACCGATACCGATACCGATTCGCTTATTGAATTCGTAAATGAAGGTAAAGTAAATAAAACACAAGTCAGGTTATTTTTAATTAATATAAAAATAACAAATAACAGGAAAAACTAAACAAAAACCGTTTAAAACTATAGGCATTTTCGTTTGCAACGAAGTAGACAAGACAACACGCGAGTTTAACACTACATTTTTGAAGCGCGAAATTTGAAAAGTAATTGAATCGGCCGTAAAAATATTGCCGATGCCGATATATTGGAAAACTTCGAGTATCGCCGATATATCGGCATCGGTATCGGTATTTGATGCATCCCTACTTCCTAGCATCACTAACATGTAAACATTTCAGTTTTGGGTTGTTAAGAAATATTTACTTGGAAGTATTATTTATTAAATTTTTTTTTATTATCAACGTATTAATATAGTAATAATTTTTTAATTACTTCGCTGTTTTACGTAAAAAATAATGATTATAATATATATAGTACAAATATATATACACACACATTATGTATGTATATATGTTTCTGAGTATGGTTACGCGAGATCGGTATCTTTCCCCATGCTAAAAAAGCCCAACATGCCTTAAAAAGTTTTCACTCACTTTAAAAAATAACTGGACTGCGTTAAAATGTTTTATGAAAAGAGAAAAAATTGTAGCCTTTGTCACTCCCATAATTGAGATTAACCAAACGGCGTCTCATATGTTAAAAACCATCAAGTCGTTTTAGCTATAGAGTGTGTAATAAAAGTACGTAAGTAAATACATACAAATCCATACTGTCGAAATACATTACCCTCCTTCTGAGGCAATCGGGTAAAAATACTAAGAGTGTGTATCTGATTCTGTACCCTTAGTGTTGTAAAATAAATTAGATCTAGCATATCATCTATTATTTGACAACCCATCTGCATTTTGATTCTTAATCGAGGACAAATATAGATGTCTATGGGTCACAACATTTATTTAAGCGATTAACCGTGTATTGTAGTAATGTGTAAGAATGTCTTCTCACTCAAATCAGACCACAGACGTCGTGAGAGGCGACAGAGGGAAATGGAAACACAAGGTGGGTAGCAGCAACTTCCCGGTAACAATTTATTTGTTATAAAAAACTGCGGTTGTCAAGCTGTGGCAAAATACACCTATGAGGCAATCTACGTGGGAGACGTTAGGTAGATGCTGCATCCGTGCGATGCCCTTCTCTTGTTTTGTTTCTCGCTGTCGTCTCTCGGCTAGTGGGTGTTCTGTCAGCGCCGCTACACGGTGCGCTGTCGTATTTATTAACTATTACGAAGTACTAATATGAATTCTCTGGTATCTTTGTTTCTTCAATACTATGACGTTTAACAAAATACTCCATTTCCTAACCGGTACAACTCTTAGGCAAAAAATTGAGCCATTGGTAGCACTAAGTAAAGTATTTGATGCAACCCGCTGTTCTTGTATATGAACTGATATATAAACTAGGATAATGAACTTTGATCGAAGGTAAAATTTTATCATTGATCGAAGGTAATGAACAAATAAATAATTAATTTGTCGCAAAAATATCAAATGATTAACAAATTGTCAATTTGCATTTCCTTTACTATTTATTCATTTATGTATCGTTAAAATATATACAATATTAAAAAAAACTATAGTAAATAAAACAAAAAACTTAAATAATTGTGCAGTCCTATCCTCGAGGTATAGTTTCAAAAAAGCTGGCTGCGTTTCCTCGCTGAATGGATACTTAAACGAGAAACGAACTTGCCTTCTTAACGCCAGCAGCGACAATCAGTCAGGGATACAGTTTCTTCAAGAACTTCATTATACACTTAATTGATTTTGTGCTCCAGTATTTTGTGACTTAAGTTACTAAGATGTTAATTTAAATATACATAATGAAAACATAAGTTAATATTGTTTCTTTACATCAAAAGCAAAAAATTGAAGCTCTAAAATATATAATATCACCGTATTATTTTGCAAATTGTATGTTATCTTATCACGTGTAAATATGGATATGTAAGTTAATATTTATATGTATATACCCGTGGGTGTCATAGTTGTATAGATAGAAATGTCGACTATACGTAGCGCCTGCATAATGAGAGATTAATAAATGTGTTCTTTCTACGAACGTGTTTGATTTTTTAAGCAGAGTTTTATAGTTTAATTTACCTTTCTGTTAAGTTTTTAAGGCTTTTAAATATCAGCTTAATCAACCAACCAGGGGGAACAAACACAAACACATACTACTTGTTTATTTTATCACTGGTTCGGAAAAAACCTCTATCCTTGGAACTCGCTCTGAACCAGTAAACGTATTGAGAGGCCAAAGTTATTAACTTCCTTAAGTTTTTGTCTGAGCGACTCTTTAGGTTTTAAATCATAGATTGCTCTTATGGTTCTCTTTTGTAAAATAAATATAATTTCAATATCAGTCGCGTGTCCCCATAGCAAAATATATAACATTATACTATATAAATAGCTAAAGTAAACTAGTCTAGCTGTTTCAACACTGGGGCAAGTGAGCATGCGGCTCACCTGATGGTAAGTGGTGACCGGCGCCCATGAACAACTGCAACACCAGGGGAATTGCAGATGCGTTGACGGCCTTTTAAGAACAGTAGTAACTTAAAGACATACTGTCAAAGTACGTCCCTGCACACGCTTGGCAGATGCCTTGGCAACGGCATTGTTTTAGTAATTATTAGCTTCTGCCCAGCTCCAGGTCTGTTTCCCTCCGTTGCTTCTAACGACATGCATGGAGGCAAAAAGGGAGAGGAGATATTTTTACACCGTCAGTACACGGTATATTGTAGACACTCATATTTTATATATAAATGTTTATATATATTAATATATATAAATTACGTGTCACGTTGTTTTTCCGCGATGTACTCCTAAATTACTAAACCGATTTTAATCACATTTGCACACCGTTTGCAGTTTGGTCCAACTTGAGAGATGGGATAGTTGTTTTGCCCATGAGTGACCCACAATTTTTTGCTAATTTAAGGATTTTTAATAGGACATGACAAAGGGTCGTCGAAAAGTGCAGAACAACGTCTGCCTGGCAAGCTATTATTTACTATATACACTATATAAACGTATATTTTATATATAAATGCTTGTTTTGCAGCATATGCTGGAAGAAAGTCTACCAATATGGAGACAGCTAGATTAGTTTATTTTAGTTACTTTCATAACGTAATGTCTTATGGAATCTTACTATAGGGTAATGCGACTGACATTGAAGTCATATTTGTTTTGTAAAAGAGAGCCATAAGAGCGATATAAATAACTTAAATTGTAAAGAGGCCCCTAAAGAAAAATTTAAAAATATTAACATATTAACTATGTTTATGAAAATCTAATGAATGTACATAAAAACATAAATAGCTTTCATAAGAATAAAGATCATACTTTAAACACTAGAAACAAACATAAGCTTGTAATACCAGTTACTAGACTCCACAGAATTAGTAATTCATTTATGGGGCATGTATACGTATTTAGTATTTACGACAAAATCGCAAAAAAAGTACAAAATTTGTCATTAAACAAATTTAAATATTTTATTAAAAATAAATTGTACAAAAAGGGTTATTGTAATATCAAAGAATACTTAAATGAAAATTACCTCTGGAAATGAGGTGATCTCCACCATGCTGGTTCTTTAAAAAATAAGCCAAAAATTATAGAAAATAAATGATTGTAAAGTGAAATATGTTTAAACAGAGTCCCGCTGGGTTTCTTGCTGGTTTTTCCTAAAACAGAGGTTTTTTTTCAAACCAGTGGTAAATAAAAAGAGACTTTCAGTAAGTATTATTCAATAATCTAAAGGTATTGAATAAAAAATCATACATTCATTCATTTACGTGGTAGGGCCACGAGTATTACAGCTGCGCAAGCAAGAGAATCCAAATGCATATGCATTGTGAATTAATAAAAAAAGTAAAATAGAATGCCCCTTTACCGGTTAAAAGGGTTTCCGTTTCTCTTCACTCATCATGCGAAACACAATGATAATTTTCTATAGTAATGACACGCCGGTATTTCACGCGAGCATGGTTAATCTCCGACTGAGCTGAAGTATTCATTCCTGCTGCAGTGCAACTCTACCACGTTTGAAAAGTTTTTTGATAGTAGGACTTCTTTTCGTTCCTAGATTCCATCCAGATTTGTTTTATAAAATTGAATGACAAACGAACATACAGTCCACCTGATGGTCATTGCTGCAATCTTCCACACTTGCTGCTAACTTCAAACAAAGAAGGCCATAGGTTCGTTGCCACCTATGACCTTTCTCTACCGTATATACCGCAACACCACAATATTTTATTTCAGTATTTTTTATTTCACGTTTACAAGATAACACCAATGTGAAGGGACGCGCGCGAATAACGATATAAGTTGTACCCACATCTACAGAAATGTATATAGTTGACACAAAAACATATCTCCGACTAGTTATTGACAGTACATTTTATTGGAGCCAGCATATTGAACGAGTATGTACTAAACTAAGACAGTTTCTAGCAAATATCACAATATATCACATTATCCTCAATTTTTTTCATTATTTTTTTTTAAAACGTTACACCTACACTAGGAATTCCTCCTGTATCGTGGAGGCAGTTTACATACATAAA